TAATCTGGTTCTGTCTCTGCTCACATTCGACCATCCATGCGTTTTGGTGGTTCAACATATGCACTTCGGCAAGTAGTTGCGCACATTTCGCATTCAGGTCTCCATCGGCCCGTGCTAGTTGCAGGTTGTCAGTGCTTGCCCTTGCTCGATCTCCAGCTTCGCTGTCCGACGGCACTGGTACAGCTGACCCATCCTGCAATGCTAACACTCTCACAGCTCCGGTGTCAGTCCTCCTCCTTGTCTCCCTAGTGCTACGGTCTGACCTCGGTGTCCCCCACGGTGGTGTCGAGTGCGTTGACGGGGAACGACTTCGTGCTCTACCTGTCGCACCTTCTCTCACCGCTGTCAGAGTCTCCACTTCGATCGTACCTGGACTAGAGTTGTGTGATGCACTCAACCGATCTGCGGCCGCAGCAGCTGCCCCAAAAGATGCAGTGCTGGCGTCGGATTGGTCCATCTTGAGTGACTGAGGGTAACTGATCTATCCGATGCGTGTGCGTTTAGATGGTGTTGTGTAAGGCCGCAGCTCGAACCCAGCTCAGAGGAGTCTGGATACGGCTGATAACCTGCGAACGGATGGAAAGGTGTGCCCTGGCCCCGTTCTAGCTCTTAGGTCAACATGAAGCTCGCGCGCTAAAGCTCCTTTTTACCTGGTTGGGCACTTGAGCCAAAAGTATATGGCATGTACCTGTATAGCGACTATACTGGGACCCCATCCCTATTGACATATACTATATTCTCAAAGATGAGTGTAGAGCTGGCCCCAATTTAAAGCATTGCTGTTGCTTTTCAGGGAGGGTTCCAAACATCTGAGGCAACGGAGGCTGAGTTGGAGGAGTCGCGGAAACGCAGCGCGTCTCCTGCTGCAGCACCTGCTGCCCCGTCGAAGCGAACACGTGGTGCAGTGCCTCCGGAGCAGGCTAATAGTTGGGGTTGCTTTGATCTAAAGAAGCTAGGGCAGTCTCAAACATGTGCTGCACATATATGCATTTGTCTCAATTTTGTGTTGGAGCTAGCGGTTGAAGGCCAGGGTGCTTCAACAATTAACTAAGATAAAAATATTCAAGTGCATTGATTCTTTATTCGATGATCGCTATACAAGCTAGATCACTGGTTTGCCAGCATGCATACCATGCATGTGACAAAGAAACATGAACAACAATCGACCAAATGGGTTGTTGAATGTCATTGAGTTGATTTTTGATTTGCATCATGGCTACGATGGTCGTCTATGCATGTCATGGTTTGTCAGGGTGTGCGTCAAAGGGCAAGCCCCACGGCTGCTAAGAGCAAGGCAGCTCCTCCCCCGCCAGCGCAGGAGACATTGCCTACAGTCTTGAGTAAACACGTCAAAAGAACTACCATGATCACTGTAGCTTTGTGCTTCGGATAACCTTGGTCGTTGCCCAGGAGGAAAATAATGTAGCCGATGTAACTGAACTTCAAAAGCAGTTAGCGGAGGCCATGAAGGTGATTTCCCAGCTGAAGCAGAATATGGGATCCACCCCAGCTGCCCCGGCTGACCCAGCTGCGCATGTGAACTCCACACCCCCAGCCCGGCCCAAAGCAAGATCGCCCACAGCTCCAAGCAGCAGTGCATCGGCAACACCTTCCAGTGCCGATGAGAAGTCAGGGTCGGAAGAACCTTTTTTGAATTAAGGCAACTAAGGTTCTCATGAGGTGCGATCATGAAATATATAAGATGGACACATAGCATATAACAGCTAGCAAAGAGCCTGTGGCATGCGTGGGGTGAACACAGGTAAGCTAGCTGGTCTCTTCTTTTGATTGAGGAAGCGAGAAACGCTCAACTGCGACGGCTATGCGAAGTGAAGCCTAGTGGCAAATGCCACGTACCCAAGGAGATTCACGACATGTGGGCAGCAGGCGGCGCTCAGAGGGATGAGCTTTCGACTTTGTTTCAAGAGGTTGGTGAAAAGAAGGACTGCTGTGCCCATGCATATGGTCTGCTTTACGCGATATCACTTGGCCATTTGCATATTTAACAATAGGGTGAAACCATTCCCTGAGGGACACAATGCCATTCAAAGAACAGTGTGATGAAATCTGTGCTCATGTCCATTCTAACACTTCCACCAGGAGACTTTCCCAAACCCACATGAACCCAATCTTCCGCCTCCAGGACCTTTTCATTAACACCGTGACCAAGTGCTTGGAACGAAAGCACAGCAAGGAGCAGGAGGTGACTTCTGGGTGGTTCAACGTAGAGGAAATGGCTAACACTTTGGGATGGGGCAAGATACTCGTCTTCAAGTTTCACCACATGAACACTGAACCTAAAACAATGTCCCTACAGCTTTTTGCTTCCCTTTTGACTTTCATTATTCTTGACCCAATGCGTGTAAGGAAGTACATTGCAGACGTTATTGCCTTTTGCAAAAAAAGGCCAGCTCTTGTCAAGATCCTTAACTGCATCAAGAGCACACGTCAATTATTTTTGGTAATCGTATGCAAGTTCCCAAACAATCCCAAACAAAGATGTGAAGAACACAATACATTGTCCCTTCGTGTGATTCGCCTTAGGAAGGACAAATATTCTGACAAGATGGACAAGTATTATGTCGACTTCAAAGACCAATCCAGCAACAAGCGCAGCGTGACAGAGACTGAAACCCATACGCAGACAGCGAAGGCTGGATACTTGAAGCTATGTCTTGTGGAATAAGTCATGGATATACTGAATATAAACTCTCAAGGTCTGCATGCCGATGAGAGATGATATGATCTATAACAATTGCCGTAGGTCCATGGAGATCGCCAACTACGACTCAAAGGTGATTTTTTGCCCTTGGGGTTCTTGGCTGTTGAAGGAGATGATGAAGAACCAGTGGAGGATATGTCTTCACTGGACGCTGTTTCTTGAAAGTTGTCTCAGTCAGCGTTTGTGCCATGATGTTAGGGCTAGATTTACCCGGCCGATACTATGTATATAACTCCATGAATATAGTACGTGGCATGGTCCTGTGACAGTGCTTGCCACTTCCACCCCCCTTCATGAACATGCAAGTATACTTTAACATGTATTTGTGCCCAAACCCAGGTCCGCAAGACTGAGAAGGAGTTTGAGGATAACATGTTGAAGAAGTTGTCCAAAGTGACCGACCTCATGTCCCGCCTGGATCCTCACTCCAAAGGCTCATCAGATTGTCGCGTCGCCAAGTGTCTCAGCAAAATGATCCTGGGATCTATTGACTGCATGCAGCATGGTCTGAGATGAATCATGCATGCACGCACGTATACGCACATGCACATATGCAACTTGCATCTACGGTATGCATGTAGCAACAACTGGTTGGAATTGTGTGTTCTAGGTCCATCAAGGCCGTGGAAATGAAGCTTGAGAAGGCCCAACTCACCTACGACAACTTTGTCGCCTGCCGCATGGAGCTGACAGGTGTGAAGGAACGTTCGGAAGAGCATCATAGCGGCATTGCAGTACATCGATTTCAACACATTGATATCATAAAAACACCATGCTGCTGAACCGCAGTTATATCAATATTCTTTAGTGCGCGTGCAAGGCAAACGCAGAAGATCACCGGTCTCATGCGGGCTGCTATGCAAGCGAGCTTTGTTTGCACTAGGGGCCAACAGGGGTTGAAATCTTCAATTCCACTTGGACAGATCCTGTTGATGGGATTCGCTATTGAATCCTGTGTTTGGGCACCGATGTTTGTACAAAAAAAGGTAGAAAACCATATGCATGGGGTCAATCTTTATCTGAGGTCTGCTCAGTTGCAAACGGTTGAGGCGCAGGCTGTGAATCTCGTCGGCAAGTGCATGCATAGTCAGGTCCTATCGAGAGTTGCACATGGCATATACTTTTCCTGCCTGAAACTGGAGCTCTAAAAAACAATAAACAAGTTGCATGCATATGCATGCTTCATGATGTCATGGCACTATAGGGCGTAACCTACATGAACAATGCATGTACCACGTTTACTGGTCTATCTTAGGTCTTTGGAAAGGGCCTTGAAGAAGCAGGAACGTGCCAAGAAGGAAGCTGAAGCTGGAGCTTGAGTTGTGTACTGGGTCTTTTTCGATGCCCGTGGATTTCACGTGATCGGAAATTTCTGGGCACTAGATGTATGTCCAAATTTGCTTTTCCCTCCAAGTCCAAGCGACTATAGAGAGGGTGCTATGCACATGGGGTCTCAATAATTTGACTCACATGTGATCAACAGCATTTGTAGGTGCTTTGATTCGCATGTCTCACTTGCAAGCCGTTAGATGTTGGGCCATGATACAGGCCACTGAACCCCCGTGGAAAAAACATTGATTGCTACGCAAGCTTCTCGTGACATCTTCCCCCACACCAGCCACCTCCAAGCTCCCCCCTTGGTTAATAGCTCCTGCTCTCTTCTTGCCAGCGCCAGGTGGTGGTCCAGAACCTGAGCTAGATGGGCTAGCCAGGATGGTTGGCAATGGCGTCTGGGGTCCAAGAAGGGATAGATCCAGCAAGATGCGCATACTCCAATTTGTAGTTGAAGACACACGTGCAACATTGACATATGTGGATCGACATGCTGCTGCATGTTTACAGATCAATTTAATTCGTATGGTTGTTTCCCTGCATGGATCATGGGCTATGGTTGCAAGCGGAAAGCCAGCAGCGACTTTGATCAAACAATAGAAGATGAACTACGAGATCTCCTTACCTACACCTGCCCCGTGACTGGTCAACAACGCTGCCCTCCATGTTTGTGACTTGATTTATATGAACATGGAATTTAGTCCACCCATGTTGTACGTGTCTCCCTCTTGTGCTGTTGAAGCTTCAAGTATAGATTAAAACAACATGTTTTGCAATTGAAGTAAAACCAACAGCCTGAGGCCTATCAGCTCTTCTAGGACACAAACACGTCAACGTGTTGAAGGATTTCACAAAATCAGATCTAGTGCGCTGTGCCTGCCACGGAGGGAAGAAAGGTGGGAAGTGGCTTGACTGACCGGTTCTCATCTGTTTTATTGCACTGTACCTGTCGGTTACTTAGAAAGCATCTTATTATGTTAAGGTCCTTGGCCCTTTGCCATGAAAGCCCTAAATCCGTAGCATTCCCTAGCCCTTTCATCTCAGGTTGTTGCGAAGGACGGTGGGCCTGCTGACTGCCATGGCTTCACAATGGCAAGTTGTGACCCTGACCATCTTAGAGATGTGTACTCTAGCTGCAAAAGCCTTTTCGAAAAGGAACAACTTTTCACTAGATATGGTCTGAGGGTTTCATATTTAGATGAGACCAGGCGCAAGAAGAGCACGGCTGGGACCATCTTGCAAAGATGTCTCACCCAAGTAGAGTGCTTTAGATGTCAAATGAATAAAGCTGTGTGTGTATACAAGATTGGATTGACAACAAATCCGCTGTTGAGATTTCATTTCTATGCCTTGGGAAACTACACCAAGATGAGTTTGGTCCATGTTACTGACAACATGGGCCTTGCTCAAATGTTGGAAGCCGCGTTGATATCCAAACACATGGGTGAAGCCGGCTGCCGAAATGAACGCTTTGGAGGAGATGGGCCAACTTCCAACAATGAGGATCTCCATTTTGTTTACATTGTTGGAGCCCGTGCCGATGGGAGAAAACCAATTTACTAGTTTGTGCTTTTTTCTGGAAGCGCTTGGTGAAATTCAAACATGTTTGCCGATGTAATTCACTCGTCTGGGCAAGCAACAAACGCTGTCCTGCTACTGTGCATCAAACACGCTCTCAAAAGGCTTGCATGCTCGCGCTTTGTTACCAGCAGCTGAACCGACCAGGGAAGATCGTTTTGAGCATATTCAGTTGACCCTCCACCATCTCCCCCCTCTTTTGATGAACTTTTCGTTCATGATTTTCTTCGCCGGCCCAAGGTCTCCTGTCGAGATGTGATTCGCCAAGCCAGAGTGACCAGAGTGAAGAGCAAGGGGATGCAAGCGCTAGCAAATGTGAATATGCACCATTCAGAGAATGGAGCACATCGTGTCTTTAGAGAGTTTGGTCAAGCTTTGCCAGTGAAGATCAGCAGGATCGATTTGCCATCGAAGAAGCGGTTTCCTTTCGTCAAATGCAGCGATTGGATGAAGTACTTAGCAGAGACTGATAGATTGAACTTAGTGGTTGGATCACAGAAGCTGTCAGAAGTACAGCCCTTGCTGCGCGAGTTTTGGGATCGCTATCGCTCAGTGGCTCCAACCCACGAAATATATCAGAGAGAACAGCAAGGATTGTTGGATTGCTCCAGGACATTGCCTCTGCTGCATCACGGCGACGAGGGTCGTGGCTACAAAAAGCTGCAAGTCATGATATCGTCTACCCATGGTTTGTTGGGTAACGGCTGCCGGATGACAGATCCAGGTAAGCTGAATCCAACTGTGGTTGGCGGAGTGGATGACCCGATGAAGCTGAACATGGTGGGAAACGCGTTCCTTACACATTTCATTCATTTTTTGATGCCTGTAGCCGTCTACAAGGAAACTCCACAGGCTTTTGACATGCTCATGGAGGCCCTTGCCAAGGACTATGCGTCCTTGTTCTATGACGGCTTCAAAGTTGAAAGTGAACAGTTTTGGGCATGCTGTGTGGCTTGTAAGGGCGATAGCCCTTTTCTTGTCAAGGCAGGCCACTTTGACCGGTCGTTTTACCATAGACCGTTGAAAGCACAAAGCAGGACTGCAGGCGTGGGCGTTTGTCATGCCTGCTGCGCTGGGAAGGAGGATTGGGTACCACGTGTGGAATGTGAGGAGTTTGGTAGTAACCCCACATGGTTACAAACTGTCGAGGTGTTGTGCCCTTGGACCATCAGGCCACCATTCTTGGACATCCCCCGCGAGTTGGACAATCCAAATGGTGAGCGGTTCTTCCAAATGGATTTGTTCCACAATTTTCATCTGGGAGCTGGAAAGTATTTCATTTCTTCCGCAGTGGTGTCTATCATTGACAGCTTACTGGTTGGATCGAGCTGGGGGGAGCGTTTTGAAAAATTGACTGATGAGTTCAGTGCATTTTGCAAGCAACGGAAATTCCATGCCTACTACAAGAAGTTGACTGCTGAGATGTTTGGCGTTGCCACAAATCAGCAGAACTGTCCAAAAGGGAACTGGCCAAAAGGAGATCAAACCACAATGCTTGCGATGTTTCTTGAAGACTTTTGTGACCGGCATGTTGTTGGAAGAGTTCATGACCCAACGCTGGTCAAAATTGCACCTTGACCACAATAAAATTTTGATGTGGTTGTCATAGGCCCTATCCTGTTTTCGGGTAAGACATTGGACATGCACGTGTTGATGCCCTCAGCTACCTGTAAGGCAACTGCAGTGAACGCCATCAACACTGCATTTCGCAGCCTTTACCACCATGGAGTGTGGGTGGATCGAATGGAAGCCAGGGCAATTGCCTTGAATGGCATCAAGTTTCTTCAGGTCTACTCTGAGTTGGCATGGCTGGCGTTTCGAAGCCGGAGCAAAAGGTTTCCCATGCAGCCCAAATTTCACTATTTGAACCATACATGGATACAAATGTTGAAAGAATCTGATCGCAGTCAGTGGGTATTATCCCCACTAGTGATGGCGGTACAGATGCAAGAGGATTTCATTGGGAAGCCAGCGCGGTTAAGCCGCCGCTGCAATCCCAGAGCTGTTTCTCACAGAGTGCTTCAACGTTCTTTTGCAGCCAGCCGACAGTGTTTGAAGTTTCTAATTCATGATCAGTTGGGCTGAACCTTTGAATGTGTGTCTTTGATCCCGGCATCATACTCCATGGAAATATGTTGAAACATGTGTTTAATCTCATGGTATGGTGATGTGCAGCTCACATTCGGCCGTCGTCAGCCACGAAGACGCCAGCAGGGAAGCAGGCAAAGGAAAAGGGAAAGGGCAAGACCGTCTGTAAACATGACATAATGGTTTCTCAGCAAACATGGATTTTTGATGAGACTCAAAAACCGGGTTTTTTGAGAATGACCCTACAAATAGTAGGTTGCAGGAAACGTCCTCTCTTTTTGAGGGTCACGCAGTCTCATGGTTTCCAATACACTGATGGTTCTTGAAGCCCCGCAGCCCGCATCTCAGGCCCCGCACGTCTTTCCCTTGGCCAGGACGCTGTCCTGGGCGTTCTTGGTCATCGCCTCCACCAATTCTGGCAAAGAGTTGGCCACCATCACCTGCGCAGGTCATGGAAAAGAACTGCTCTGAGCAAAAGCGTACAGCAAATAGTATCTGCATGACGTCTCTGAAGCCTTCTGGTAGTTGTAGAGTTTACTAGGAGTACAAGTACATCTGTGTTTATAATATTCAAGTTCATCATGTTCTTGGTACAAGTTACCAGTTGATCCCATCGCAATTTGTTCACTTCATTAGCGGGAAGAACCGACCGACATGGTCCGACATGGCTGCGTTTCGATCCGCTTTTTGAAGGGGTGGTATGGCAAATGGAACCGGCAGTCTCCTACCTGAAACTCCATCGGTGACTCCCGCAACATACTGTTGGGCGCATTCGCGACTTCACTGGCGTGTCATGTAAAGGCAACTCAAATCATGCAAACAAAGCAAGATATTAGATCTAGCATGCTAGTCTAGTCTTGATGGCTAATGTTCATGCCATTGATGATGCCTGACACCTGGTGCAAGCCAATTCCTGATAGCAGTTTCTTCCTCCATCGCAGCTCGTCGGAACCACCGTCTCCTCAGACCGTGTCTCCCTGCTCCGTAGCTCCCGTCGCAGCGGAACATGAGCTCGTCGTTGCCACCTCTGCGACCGTTTTGATGCAGCTTCGAGCGGTTCGACGTTCAACCGAGTCGCACCGGAAACGAGAATGGAAGACCATCCCTATAGGGCTCCAAGTACCTCCGAAGGTACTTGGAGCCCTAGTGCATGAGTGGAAGATTCACATGGGTTCCATCATGCTACACGAAGAATTTGGAATATCCACTCAACACCTGCATGTGCGACTCATTCCCTAGGACTGGAGATCAAACATTCCACATGCCCCCTGAGGCGTGAAACAGGCTTCAAACAGACTGGATCCCTGTGACAAACTGGAAGCTGGCATGAGGTCATGCTTATACCTACACATTCTCCCAAAGCTGATTGATGTGAGCAGCTGAGTGTAGCAGCAAAGTGTCACTCACTTTTGTACTAAACAGAACCGACCCAAATGAGATGAAACACCCGTAAACGCCCCACCATCTCTGAGTTCCGACCGAACCGACCATCGAAGCAAACCTCATGAGAAGAGATGAAACACCCAACGAAAACCGACCAAACGGCGAGTGTCTGCAGAGGGGACCGCTGTTAATCGTCTCCGCTGTCTGCTCTCCCCGGCCACTAAGCTTCCAGCTATCCCCGCAGGCCAAGGTTCGCCCGGGTTCTGGGTGCGAATGTCAGCGGATCGATTTGGCATCTTGGCTCACATGTGGGAGGCATGAGCAGTCCGGATATTCCATCAAACCTGGACAGTCCTGGAGATGAGCACATGAATATATAGGAACGGCAAGTGAATGAGATCAAGAGCCGAAGATCAGCTTTCGCGGAGCCGAATGAGGCCAGAGACCGGAGCAGGGGACCACAAGAGAATGACACAACCAGATAATGAGGGACATGCATAACAAATAGTTTGCTTACTATTCTTAATTAATTAAGTTGTTTCTATAACTGAAAATATAGCTAAATAACACATATTTACACACATAATTGAATTAACAAATCTATGTGACACTAAGAACAAACACTGCCATCAACATCTGGCAGGTCCGCACCCTGCAGCTGCACCCCTCTTGCTATATTTGAAGGAGCCAAACTCCGATAACTCTCACATGCATCTGGAACAAACATGCATCAAAATCTAGAACATCCAGGATCGCCCAAAAGCATCAAACAGCATCGCGCTTCCGCCCTGTCTCCCGGCGCCCCCTTTGCCGCCCGGACCTGCCGCCGACCTCTCACCTCTCACCTTCCCCCGGTTACGTGGACCACACCCTCCCACAAGGGCACCTGCACCAAGAACACATGAAAAAAAGAAAATAGTACATAATAGTAGTAACAAGGGCATGGCTACTAGTAGCTTCTTGCTACTATTAGTAGTAATGCCCTTGTTACTAGTAGCGATGCCCTTGTTACTAGTGGCTTCTTGTTACTGAAGTATACACATCACGTCTGCGACGAACACGACTGCATGATGCTTTGCCACGAAAACTGCACCGTATGTTGCACAACGAAAACTGCACTGTATGTTTTGCCACACAAACTACACAATGCTTTGCCACACAAAACTGCACTATTACACACAAGATCAACATCCGCAGGAGCGACAACCAACTTGCGCCTTCCAAGCCTTTCGACAAAGCGTTCGCTTCGATTGTGCAACGCAGTGGACTGGTTTGATGCATACCATCCTCATGCAAGAGCGTCCACATCTCACATCTCCTCGAGAAACAAGTTCACGCCCTTCGTGCGCCAAAACGTCTCTGGTGATTGAAGCGTGCACCAAAACGGCACAAACATACAAACAAAAGGAGCAACACACCACCACCCGCGCGAACTACACAAACCTATCACATACCAAAACCAACTGGTGAAAGGGCCGCGGAGGAACTTCACGTGCACCAACATAGATCAACATAGGCACGTCAGTCGAACCGCATTGGGTGTTTGTCGTTATCAAACAACATAAAACAATCCAACCATACTAAGCCTGACGCACGACAAACTCACGCCGGGACACAGGAAAATGACCATACATGAACAAACACACAAAGAACATTAATAAGTGAAACACATAAAAACACATCTTAATTAACCTGAATAGCTATATAAACATCAACACGTATGATGGTGAGAACAATCTTCGGACCGTGAACAAGACCGTTCACCGAGCCCCTGGCAGGTTTGTTCGGAACGACAGAAACCCTTCGGAACGACTGCGGGGTACCCCCAAAGACGACCCCGACGGACGGGTTTAAACACCACCCAAGTCATGGTGACCTGGAACTGGATGTGACCTGAGAGGGGACCGAAATCGATCATGTCCAGCTATCAAGTTCTTTAGATGATCAGGGTAGTTCTGTATCAGTTCGACTAATAAAGCTGATTACACACATTCCTAGAGTGCATGAGTGCGCAGGCGCATGAATATGCATTGACATTCCCTCAGCTGGCAGGGATGTCCCGCTCCATGCATGGAAAAAATCAAAACAACATCTGCAAACTGCTGCATCTGGAATAACAAGAACAACTATAAACAACCCATCTTCTCCAAGTTGGGGGTGGTTTCCATCAACAATTCATTCAGAGAAAAGAGCCAAACGGAAAGGCACCCAGAACGCACAGCAGAAACCAACCCGGCCGTCCCCTTCAGCACCGTCTGGGTCTCCCCGACCAAACTTCAGCTCTCGCTGTGCAAACTCCAGCGCCTTGCCTTTCCCTGCCTCGCACACTTGGCGCAGAATCGCAGTGGCGTGCAAAAGGAAACGCCAACGGGCGCAGCGGCTTGGTGTTCGCATCTGACATGCCTATAAATAAATGACCATAAGTTACAAGTAAAGTGAACATTGAGAAGAATAATACATATCAATCAACTTCTCGAAGGGTATGTGGATCCCTATGGGGATATACTATATATATATACATGTATCACACATACATAGTAATAATATATTAATAATGATAATACCAAAAATAGTAAAATAATATTTATTTTATGTGTATATATGTTAGAACACCTGTTCACAAGCAACCATCTCTGCGCATCATATTTGCATCATGAATGCACAATATGGTCTTGCATCCGGTTGCAACACCAGCTACCAGTACCTATCATTGGTATTTGCGAGTACTTCTCGTATAGTGAGTCAATTAAGCACATTGGTATGGATCCAAGGGTTTGAGAACGCCACAGGGTAACCCTGCCGTGCTTCTCGACCAACAACATGAAACCGTGTGTTCTGGTCGACCAAGGACCAGCTGGTCTCGACCTGACGGGAAAGACCGGTTTTCGGCAGCGCTGGACAGGTCGGCAACGGCGGCTGGACGCAACGGCTGCAGCCTGAGAGGAGCAAATGTCGATGAGCTTCCATTCCCCATGACCGGAGGAAATCACCTGGCAGCGTCAGTTTGCAGTCCAATCAGTTGGCACTATTCACTGCAATATTCCAGCCCCCTGAAACGGAAGGGTATTCAAACGGAAGGGTTTTGGTGGTATTCAGGGGGCTGGATTCTCAATTACACTATATTTTTTATATATGAAAGCACATTGTCGTTACTATGGGCTTAAAAGCCATGTTGAAGCGCAACAAACAAAAGCTCGACCGAACTGCAAGGAACGTCCCCACCTGATATTTCTCTCCCAAGGTCTCCTGCAGAGTCCTCTTTCCCGCATCAAAGTTCTCATCCTCGGCAGAACCCAGTGCCAGGGCCAAATACATTGATTTCTTCGACTGCTTTGAATTGAACAGTTTCAGATGGTAAAGCTATGTAAAAGCTCACATTGCTAGCTCAATATGCTCAATTCGCTCAAGCTCAAGCTCTGCTGAACTTCAGCTGAGACGGCTCACCATCTGATATGCGGTCGGAATCCGGTAGGGATCATCCTGGCACCACGAATCTGAGATTCCCCAGTTGCAAACAAACACAACTCTGTCCGAGCAAAGTAACATCCTCATATGGGTGTGGCCACCATGGGACCTGATATGACCTGATCTTCACAAGGTTTCACAAACACATGTCGCGTCCGTCCACCTCAAAAAGATATCTTGCATGTCTTATTTCACAAACGTAGCAGCAATCCATGTCGGTGTGGCCACTCAAGCCAGGGTATGCCAGCAGAAAGTCTCATGTTAACGACTTAAATACATGGGACTGGAGGACTGGAGGACTGATACAATTTGGACTGATATCGAATCATTGTGAAATCATATGTACATATTAGCTACATCTATCCCAACTTTCACGGGCTTAGAAGACTCATCTCTTTGGCTGCTTGGTACACCAAAAACATCTGCCTTTGACTGCGAGACTCTCAAATCCACGACGGGGACGACGACGGTACACTCACCTCGTTCTGTCGCTCCGAGCGCCCACGTCGGTTCAATTCCCTCAGCGGAGCGCGTCGCGGGCGCCTCTGGAGTTCCTCGGAGCTCAAACTTGGGAAAGGCGGCCAAAAGGATGTCCTGACACCGTCGCTCCGGGCTTGTTTCATGGGTTGTTTTTCCGTTTGTTTTTCATGTGGTGTTTTTCACGTTCTTTTTTCCATGGTTTTATGGTTTTTCCGCTGGTCTGTTTTGGCGGGTTTTTCGGGTGGTAGCAGCACGGTGCACCCGAAACCAGACCCGTTCAGACCAGGCTCGAGGAAAAACTCAGGCTCGTGCACCAAAAGCATGGAGGCCCTAGCATTCACCCCCTGCCCCGTGGAAACCCCTAGCAACAGGAGTTCAAGCGGTTTTCGCAGTGAAATTGCTGGCTGGGGTGTCCTGGCAACAACCAAGAGGTGTTTTCCCACCTGCTTCATGAAGTTCATGGCTGTTTCGCTGCAGGTTCTTTCAGTGTTGTCCAGTGGATCTCAACTAGTGAGAGTGTGCATCCGCAATGAAGAACTCAAGATCCTGTTCTGAGCACCGAAACACCGCCTCTGAGAAAAACAGCAAACCATCTGGAAGCGAGCTCGTCAGCTCAGCTGCTTGGAGTTGGCTATTTGGGGGTCTTTTGGAGTAGATACGATCTCGGACCATCCACCTAAACACAATACCCATGACACGACTAATGGGACTGGACACTGGACACTGTATGCCACCCCATTGACCCAAAGTTCACCACCCCAATGTACAAATAAATGCCATACACATGGAGTGTCTGAACTATTGGGATCTCCTCCACGTATTTGCGATCGAAGCCATCCAGCACTTTGCTCCTGGACGTCGATGGGATCATGACTTCAATTCGTTTGGCCCCTCTTCCGGGGCGAAGGGAAAGCATAGGTTGGAGACTCCATGTATAGTATAGTTTGGGTCTATCCTATTATTATTATCAGTATATAATACTGGATGATGATGGTTAGTAAAGGCCTTGTGAAACAATCGTAATAAGTGTTTACTGACTGTTTCGGGTAATAGGACAAACCCAAAGTATGGTCGAAGCCATTCCAAGGATCCCATACCCCCTTGGTCCATTGGCGCATGGTGCAGTATTGACACGTGGCTGCACTGTTCCTTCGATCCTCGGACCGGGGGTGCATAGGTGCAGCATATTAATGAATGGATTGCTCAGTCTGAATAACGTTGGGACCATGTTACCATGCTGTTCATAGTGGAAAGCATGGTAAGTCCCAAAACTACAGTACTGGCGTGTCTCTTCCTGTTACTACTTCTAGCAGTGGTCTTGAAACCGGTCTTTGACTCCCAGGGTGTTCATAGCTGGAAATCAAAGCACTTGGGAGTACAAGAGCTGTTTTTCAGAGTCATATACACCATCCGAAAAGCGATATGTCGAACCACCGCGAGATAATTACCGTGTCTTTTTGTGGAATCACATGATGTTGGATGATATTTGATCAGCATGATGTACGATTTGGTCCCAAGCAAGGCCATGCCAGGCACGCTTCCATTCAGGCATGAGCTGCAAAGAGGCTCCTGCCTGTCATGCGAGCGAGAAACCACAAGGTACACCAAGCTATTGGTCAATTGAAACAGCAAAAGCACATTCTGACAGGCTGTTGGTCAACAGTAGCGCATTCAGAAAGAACTATCCTCTGAGGGTCTCCTCCTACTCACACCTGTCCACGGCAAGCTCAACAGAATTCATTAATTCATGACCTTGCAAACCCCCAAACCGAACGAACCAAGATGGTTTCTCTTCTTCGAACGCACCAGCCGAGCGTCAGAAGCACCGGCCTCCCACCAGTCAAACAATGGAAGGCTCGATGGGATGGCATAGACTTCAGTGCCAACGCCACCTGAGACGACATCGTTCCGGACCCACGTGGAAGACACCAAACGGGACGGGACGTCCACATCTCTGAGGTCGCTGTATCCAAACGACCAAAAAGGCGGATGATGGACGGAACACCTTCCAAACTCCAACTGGGCATGTAGACAGATTTTCTATGTAGACATGAGATCATATGAGATCATCATGGATTCCAAGCCAATAATCTCCAATACACTTTCAGCCTAAAGCCTCCACACGTTTACACCTTCACTGTGTCGGTTCTTCCAAGCTCGGAGCAAATCAAGAGCTCCGGTCTCGGCAAGTGCCTTTCTTTGGCCACGTCTAAGGCCTTGGGTTCCGACAAAGCGGCTTTACGGTCCGTGGCATGTGGGCTGTGAGTTCATGCCACGTGGCATGGTGGTGGTGTTATGAGAATACGGAAACAAACACGTTGAGAGATGTTGAGAGCTTTGACATTTGTGTTCCAAACTGCACCAATTGCAGCTCAGGTGCCATGCTCTTGTTGCGGCCAGTGGAATAGGCAAGGGCCTAGGAAAGCAAGCAAGATCTGGGGTGCCGAAGCAATGTTTTTGTACAGTCAGTATGTTTTGTCAGTTCTGGTGGTAAAGTGTGAGAACTTGAAATGGCTAGCTATCTCAAAAACCTCACAACTTCAAAGTCTTTTTGTGCCTTCGCACAACCCAACAACATTGGTAGACCCTTCTAATCTCTTCCAATCCCTTCTACATTGGTAACCCTTCGTATACCCTTCCAATCTCTTCTACAACCCATCAAATCCGCAATGCCAAACACGGACTTGATTCTTCGTCCGATGGACAGCTGTGACGTCTGGCTTTCGGAGCTTTCGGACCGAGGCCGTCACCGAGCCATTTGGGGCATACTCTCCCAGCCACGTGGTCTTGAAATCCTGACGGCCAAGGGGTTTCGGGTTGCTGGCGAAGGGCAAGGCTTTCCAGGTGTTCACAAGGTGTCAAGGTCTTTGGCACATCTCAACTCTTTCAACTTACCATCGCAATCATTTATGCTCAGTTCTGCAACAAAAAACACACATACACAGGCACACCTATACTTCAAAAATGAACATATATACACATGACTATTATATTATTGTAGATTGTTGACCTAGTAATACATGAGAAAAACAACAACAATTTGGACTGTAAAACATCTTCATAATATGGCTTTCGGTCTTATGAATCATGTGAACCAGTCGAACCAGTCGATCCGAACATCTCAAAAACAAGCAACACACAACATCACACAATGATCATTGAACAACAACAACAACAACCACAGCCACAAACGCAACCACAACCACAACCACAACCACCCCAAGAAGCACAACAACCACAGCGACAACGGAGAGCGATGATCGACACCTCCAGAAGCTTGTTCTCGGGATCCCGTTCGTGGCCGATCAGCGTATGATCCTTGGGCGGGGCGAGGGTGCGACCCGGGTCGCATGGGACCGGCGCTGCCGTGGACAAAGACACTGAAAAGGGAGTCTTGAGAAGTCAACAAGATGTCTTTCTAATTGTGTGCAATCGTTTTCAATACAATAGTGTTCAATATGTTCAATGTGTGTTTTCTCATTAAAGATGGTAATTCCCAATTGGTTGACTGTCACATGTTGGCGTTTTGAGGGGTGGGGTGGGGGGGGCCATCATGCCCCATCAAGGCAGTGGTTTTATAGCTCAGCTTCCTTTGTCTCCGACAAAAGTGACCGAAAGGACCATTGGTGCTGTGAACATATGCATGTGGAGATCTTCGATAACATGGGCAATCAGATGTTCAAAAGCACTGACCTGGGGGGAAGAAGGGAAATCAAAAAAGGAAGAAACAACACCCGACTTGCTTAGCTTTCGGCCAGATCAGTCACCACCAGCACCGGGGTGTCCCGGATCCTGGACATAGGCAAGCAACAGCGTATCCAGAGCTCTACAACAACTTGACCTTTTGTATTGCTGTGAGCACATCAACCTGATCTCCCTGCTTAATTTCCACATCAACAACGCCTGGATGCTCGGACATCTGGGAGACAACACAATGATAAGACTTGTATGAAACTATTGAAACTCCATGTGATCACGGCATGCAACCTGGAGATCTGCATGGGTCATGTTCTCTTGAAAGATCAGTCCGCGATCTTCATGGGTGTCACAAAATCCGGCGACAGAGCTCGTCAGCCAGTGTTGAGGAACTGTTCCGTTCTACCAAAATGATGGCTGTTGTTTCAGCTGCACTCCAACCATGATAGATGAGCATGAACACCAAAGGACTATGAAGGATATATACCAGTCTACCGGCGGGGGGGTCTCCCTGTCAAAATGCACAGTACCCACATGTACTCACCCATTGGGTCTATCCTGTTACCAGTAACAGTGGATAATGATGTTTAGTAAAGGTACAGGCCCTGTTCAAAATTACTGAGAATTGTTCACTGACTGTTGCAGGAAATAGGACACACACACGCACACGCACATGAAAGGATTCCCTTCATTCACTGGGTGTCCCTTATAAGGGTGGGTGGTCATCGGTGGTCATTCAAAGGAAACTTCTCCAGATTTGGGTGACAAATATGCTTTAGCAATCTCTCCCCAGAACACCGTGCCCATGCCTCGCAGAAAACATCGAAACAAGGCACAAGATGCCCGGCTCCGTCTCCTCCGCAAGTGCCCGTTCCGGAGCGAGTACTTCCCAGCTTCCTTGGGGCCGCGAGTGTACGTTCGCTCCCGCGGGAGCGAAAGGGGTGACGGGAGTCGACGGCGTTCGTCCGGCGTTCGTCGAAACAGCCGTGACGATCCGTGGAGAGTCTACACATACGAAGGAACTCCTGCAGTCTGTCAGCCCGAGCTGATTCACACTTCGAGGCGTATCTTTTTTTTTACGCCCAGTCGTGGTTTTTGGACGAAGTCCTGACAGCAGGAAACTTTCTACCTGGATTGAATACCTGGATTGAATCCGCCCGCAGGCTGTTCTGCCGGAATGGAATTCAGTCCAATTGTCCAGCCCAAATGATTTCACACACCTTTTTTTCACGTGCTTTTCTTGGGGGAGAATCCATCTTCCGGAGTCAAAACATTTACAGATTCAAGAGAATTACTTATTTTCGATGCCGGTTTGATGAGACGTCTCGTTGACAATAAAGCTTGCCAAGCCTTTAATTGTCCCAATTGAATCCTCGTTTGGGCAAGCTGTGCCTTCTGCAACCATGCCATTTTGATGGATGGGCTGCTTTCACAGGCTGCACGTGTTTGCACCGAACCCCAAGCAGTGCGGCATTGTTTTGGCCGAGCCACCGAGATGAGGTAGTTCTTCTTGCCGTACCAGTCAGGAGGATTGTCCCAATACTTCTTCTGCATGTCGCAGACCACGAATTCCAAGCCATCGGCCTCTTTCGGGGAGAGGCCTAGTCGTGCCTATTCGACCAAACATGAGCAAAGACTCCTATTTCATCTACTTTCAGGCCAAAGAGATGCGGAGAGATGCTTGGATAAGTTTTTGGGGCCCGAACTCAAGGAAGACAGGTGATCAAAGGAAACAAACAAGTTCAGCCACGGGCGATTGGGGGAGTCCATGGTGCACAACTGGTCTGACGTTGATCTTTGGTTGGGAGGACTGACATAGGGTAAAGCATGGTAAAACGATCCATGATGTCTGTGTCTTAATTCCTCCCCAGGTACTTGGGAAGTCTTTGACATGATCTGATCCACTGTGAACCTTTCGTTCGAGAGGGCCCCAAGTTTTGTCTTCGACTGATTCCTGAATTCATTCCCAAAGAAAACTCCCAAATCTGCTTCAGTGGATTCCTTTCATTCACAGGTGTCCACCCCACCAAAAACTGGTCTTGGGGACTTGAGCTTGGCGGTCTTCGGTGTGAAACAATGTGAAACATGTTCCTGCAGAACACATCAAACATCAATCGCTCCAAACCAACAGTCAGTTTTTCCTGTCAAGGCTGGCAGCCAGCAGCATCCACTCGGAGCTCCGTCATCAGCGAAGAAAACCCACATCTTGGAGCTCTGCATCTCGGCCTCCACGTGCAGCTCGTGCACCGAAGGCTTGCCCGGAACAGTCTGGCAGCGCGGCAAGGAACGGGACCGGCCGAAGCGGAGGAGACCGGAGCACCGGTGGTCCGGCGGCCCGTAGGTGAGGCCGCAGCATGTCACGAAAAGCGGCCGGTGGGCGGCCGAAATGGATTCTGTTGATATTTTTTGAGGGAGCATGTAACATCACGATAGCTCGCGGTCTCAGACCACGGAGAGCTTTAAAGTCCCAAAAATGTAACATCATGTAACTAATATGTAAGTGACCCGAGAGGTTGAGGATATTCGAAGTGATCAAATATGTAGCCTTGTTCTGAGTCTGACAGGATCATCTTCTGGAGCAATGTGAGGGACGTGTGATACAATCGGTCCGCACCAACAATCAGCATAAGTTTGATTCAACAGCGACCTTCCCTGTCAATGAACAAGGCCCTAGTAGCCATGATAGTAGCTATGATGGCGGTAAGGGCTAAGTTGGGTGACTAGGCCCTAGGCCTGCCAACAAGGTGTCATCATGCAAAGCTTCTAAGAATATGGGTGGCTTTGCACTTCCAACCACCAGGGCTGAATATAATATAGAGTCAAGCAGACCAAGTGTCTTCGACCCCAAAGACTCGGCAGCTTCGACCCCACCAGACGCTTTACTGGCCAGTCCACGACCCCTGGAGTTGGTCACCCAAAAAGCACCTCCGAGTCAACCAACCAACTCCTTCTGCCGACGGCCGCCGCGCCTTGAAGGCCATGTCTCGCCAGGCGCTGTCGCCCTTCGGGCAACCTGACTCGGTGGAAAGCGGTGCAGCGGTGGTTTCCACCGTTGGCGAAAAGTGCATGCAGTGTGGTGCACTCCTTGAAAGAAAGGAGGACGTGACGTTTTGGGGGAGTTTTTGGGGGACGCGTTTTTTTGGGATGGTCCATGATTCGTAGTACACGGATTCTGAAATGCTACAATGTATAGGATTGAAAGTGAGGCATAGTGAGGCTGCTCCCTCTGTAAGTCCTAGGTCCTAGGTGTAAGGCTGCCTCCATGTTCCATTCTTTTCTTCAAAACACTCTTGCATCTCCCAATTCGAAGGCAACGCGAAGGCAACGCGAGTCCGGTGTCGCTTGACTGTGCGCACCATGCAGCTGACATTCCTGCCACCCCGTGTAGTAGTAGAGCCTGACGTGTCAACTCAACTCAAGTGTAGTGTAGTATCTGTCTGTAAATGATACATGGACAATCATGGACATCCCCTGCAGTTCAGCACTGGCTCAAAGTGCGAGAAAGTAGCCTTCCAGGCAAAGGTCTGTGTTCAATTCAAGCTGCAATTTTTAGATGTGTGTGACCTACCATTATGGTGCCTAGTGCCTTCGTGTTGTTGCCAGTAGCTTGGAGCAAATGGAATCCTCCTCTCCTTGTGGATGCTGGTGCAAACACATCCACATTGCCACACTTTGCTCGCAAACCGTCTCTGGAGCTTTTGAAAACCACTGTTCCTGAAATATCTTTATAGATCTTTATAGAAAACCTTGTGAGTGTACGAACAAAACACACCAGAAAAAAAAAAAAAACAACACCTTCTCCATCCCCTTCCATCAGGTCGATTCATCATGCCGGATCCACGTCACCGGCATGGAGGCGTGAGACGTGAGGATGTTTGAGACGTGAAGCACAAAGGGCTTTTGGTGGGTTTCGTTCCATCCCAATATCATCGTTCAGTGATGCTTCATTGGGCATTCCGAATGACCTCCTCGCCCGGCAGTGCTGCAGTCTAGTAACTATTTGGCTGTCTTTTTTTTTGTTGTATTGTGTTCATAGTTCATTTTGTTCGGCCTTTTATTCCGAATCACCAGCACTCGATGAACTATCAACTTGAGCTCTCACTTGGTGCTCCCCATGGATATTGATTATGATGGCAAAGTCCTTTCATATACCTTCGTCTGCAACAGGATGATCAGAACAGTCTTCTCCACGACATTGCTGATTGCAATAATAGTCCTTGTGTCTGCCTAAGCAGCCTAAGCTGGTCTTGCAAACCAACTCTGGCTTGAACCAACGCTGCGGATGAAGGAACACGAATGGTCCACCGGAAGGAATGACAAGGCACCAGGAGCCTTGTCTCTTGCCTAGCGGCCCAAACGCGCCAACCCGCATCGTGGATGTCGATCTCCTATATAAATAACCCATCCGACCTTCAAATGGTTGGGCTCTGTTCTCCAGAAGCTGCAAATATTCAGTGCTCCAACCATATCCTCAGAAGGTGGTTAGTGCATGTTAGTGCATGTTAAACCCCCTTCTTGCGCCCACCCCAACCACCTTCTCACCAGGAGAGGCCAGGAGCCCTAAGGCCCTATTGGGCAGATCTGAGGCTCAGCGCCGAAGCCCGAAGCGTTGAGGACCCCCGGAGACACCGCACCAGGGACGAGGTAGGAGCCTCGTCAATGGCACACCGATCGATTCACCGATCGGATGAGATCGTCGCTGCTTGGAGGAAGGAAATCCAGAAAGGAGAATCTCCAAGCACTTACTTTGATGTGTAACGAGCTTGCACAAGGTGCCTCAAGGTGACTTATTGACTTGTTGTAGGCTGCATTCCTAGATCTACAGCATCAAACATCTGCTTTACGTCTTCAAACTTAGATTGGGAAAAAACACAGTACTGCACACTAATTCCACTACACTCACATTTTTCCGACAATGGCGGCATTGAAGTTATACGGATATACGGTATTTTGTCCTTATATCGTGAAATATGCGACGTAAGAATCGTAAGAATCGTAAGATGAGCAGATTGAAATCCTTCGGGGCTCAAAGACCACGCCTGGCTCCACGCCGCCTTGGGCGGCCGGCGCACCTAGAGAGAGACCCCATGGATGTGCAAGGGAGGGCGCACATGGATGCGCCTGCGATCCAACCATGTTTTCATCTGAGACCTTCAAGTGTAGTCTCAAAGCTGAGTCCTAAAGAGAGGGTCCTAAATGATGCTGGTTGATCCTGGTCTTTGAAGCTGCTCTTTAGCTGCTTTAGCTCAATTGAGATATATCAAAGGTCAACAACAAGGTCTTAATGTTAACAACTTTGGCTTCCAGTGAGTTGGCTCCTTCTTTCATGTCCAATCCTGTCCAACGCCGATGCCGCTCCCCACCTGCTCCGCATGCCTCAGACAAAAATCCGAGGTGACTGGTTCTCCGCTGGGAACCAAGTGGAAGTTGATGGCACCCCCTGTTTGTATGAGGAAGATGTGTGTTTCCGGAGGCCATCTTCCGCTTCCATGTTAGTTCCAGACAAAAGGTCAAACAATCTTAAGACCTTCCACACGGAACCTTCCGTCCACTGATCCACCTTATCCACCTGGTCGCGGGTACAGACCTCATGGGGACGATGTTGGACATCAATACATATAACCCTATGAAATGACCCCATCCATGTAAGCAACGAACAATTCCAGTCCCGTGGATGGTCTGCGATCAGTCGAGCAGGGATGGGTTCGTGGTCGTCTGTGATCCATAACGGAGGGTTTGTCAATACATGTCATCCTCGATCGGAACCCGCTCCGCAGTCATGAAGCAGGTCCCAAGGCTGACATGTGTGCCCCACCAATTTCGCAAAAATACCTCATGCATTCTGAGTTCTTCCCTCAACAAGCTTGGAGCTTTTGGGTCTAAGCAAATGTTGGTTTGAACCCGGATACAAAGCGCGACCGCTCAAAATGGGACTGTAACACCTCATTCCAACAACGGCAACCAACCGCGCGAGGTCATGCGCCCTACCCGACCGGGCCTGGTTCGGGGGTGGGCCTCGGCCGAAGCGCGTGGGAATGCAAGTCTTCTTGTTTGAAAGAAACTGTTTGTTAAAAGCATGAACACAACACCTTCTATTCTGGAATTGTTTTTATGTTTTTCTTTTTTTATGGATGAATATGTATAATTCATGTTTCACATTTGTCTTCACTGATCCTTGGAGGGAGATACAAACCATCTGTGTTTCTCTGCGTTTCACCTGAGTCCATCGCCGAAACTCTGTCGGCCACCCTGGAGGGTTGGGCAAATGCATTCGCACAACCGGACCAAGCGGCCGGGGCAAATGCGTTGAGGTCTGGTTGAGATTGTGATTTCAAAACATTATCTATGTCTCATAGGGCGTTGGGTTCCTTTTCTCATTGCGCCTTGGATTTTCTTTGTGCTTTCTTCTTGGGCATTAGATTCTTTCTGGTTTCCTTCATGGGTGTTCGATTCCTTCTGGTTCTCTCATTGGGCGTTGGATTTTTTCTTTTGGCTTTCTCATTGGGGGTTAAAATCCTTGTGGTCTTCTTCTTGGGCCTTGGATTCCTTTTGGTTATCGTATTGGGGTTTGGATTCCTTTGGGTTTTCTCATTAGGCGTTGGATTCCTTTTGGTTGTCTTAAGGCCTGTGGATTCTCTTTGTGTTTCCTTCTTGGGTTTTGGAGTGCTTTCTTATTGGGCTGTGAGTTCCTTGTGGTTTTCTCATTGCGCGTTGGGTTCGCCTTGGTTTTGTTATTGGGCTTTGGATTCCTTCTTTTCGTGGCGGAGGCATGGATTCCTGTTGGCTTCTGTTGGGCTTTGGATTGATTTTGGTTTCCTTATTGGACTTTGTATTCTTCACACTGCCGTTATCGCAGGCCAGTAGCCCCAAAACCACTATGTGAACAAGACTCCACGTTTTTGATTCTACCCTGCATCTTCTTGTTATTTGAGGAGCCAGTAATCATTAAGGTTAGTGTGTTTGTAAAAACATGTTTTCTGAGAATCAGTTTCAGAACGTCTCTGTGTAGAACGGTGGAAAGCGTGCCTGTTCATCTGCACTTGCTTGATTATGTCTTTACTAAATGTTTGAAGAAACATCGTCATAATCATCCTGAAAGTGCTGACAGTGCTGCCTTAGTTTTGCGCTAGCTCGCCAGAGGTCTCTGACACGAGGGGTGAAAACAAATAAAACATGCTTCTCAACAGGCTATGGCGGCCATCTTGGTGAGTCTCCCAATGAGTTTCAAGCGATTCCTACACCAGTCAGGTTGCATCAACGGAGCGATCGACGCGACCCTCGAGGCGAGCCGCGAGCCGCCGCGAGTCGTTCGGACGAATGTCGATCGGACGCGAAGAAATCGCGCCTCTCCATGCGACCGGAGTTGAGGGAACTTCCTGAAACAACGCCGGCATGTCAACAGAAAAAGACGGACCAAAAGCGTTTCAATGCTGAAAACCAGCGAAGCGAAATTAAAGCGGGTTTGATGTTGCTCCATAATCCATATATATTATGTGTTTGTTTCCATGTGTTTCCTCCATCCTTCTCCATCCTCCTCCATCCATCCATTCACAATGATACTTCATTTGCCAGGCGCCATGAGCAGTCGCTCTCTTGGCGCCAACCGACGTTCCGGGTTGGGCGATGCATGCCAGCCACCCTATCAGCCACCCTATCAGCCTGGCTGACGGTGTAGGGTCTGTCGGTATGGGCGTCTGTCGGTATGGGGGTCCACAGCACCTGCGAAAACCTGTCGGTCATCCATAAGGACCCTGAACTGTTCAACCGATCCCGGTCAAGCTTGACCAAGGGGGCCTAGGTTTTGACCCATCGCCGGGCTGGAGAAGGCCGGACCCGAGCATATTAGAGTCAGTTTAACTTGACTAATCCATATATTTTAATATATGTTCTATTGACTGGATACGCTATGCTGCTTGACTCCATAATTTCAGCATATTTCAGCGCACTGATCAGAGTCAAGGATCTTTTCCAGCTTTTGCGCGATTCGCCTGCATGGTCAGCACGGTACACTTCTCGAGTTCGAACATGGTCCGAATTCGTTCAAACTGTTGATGGGTTCTTCCAGTGAAAAATGAACATGCATGCTTCATGAGGGCCTTCGAACGCGCTGAAGAAACCGCATGGAGACACGTTGTACGGTCCAGCAAGTCACACACTCCACAGTCGACACCACATGAACTGAGATGATTGTACTGAATGAATCAATTTTGGATTGCAAAATCCTTCCAAACAATTCCAACCCGTGGCGTTATCAAGACGAAGCAACAATCGACCACCAGTTCGCAAGAAAATCCACGACTCTGCGCCTCCCTTGCCCGCTCATCCGCAAGGCTGGTAGCAACGGCCGCACAGCAGCTGCGAGGTGAGGCATAAGGCCGGGTGAGGTAAACCAAAGCGGAGTCTTTTGGGGGGTACAGTATATGATGGTAAGGGATCAATCAGGATCCTTTCGGAAAGGATTCATGATGCATGCAAAGTTCAACACCATACAAAACATACACAAATCAATGTCAAGAGGTCTTGCATGAGGGGACCCGAACGCAGATTTAAGTCGCTATGCCGAGGTCGGGTTAGGCCTACCATCAAAGCTGCACTTGCATTTCTTTATAAAAGATGGACACTGGAACATGGTCGTGGACAATGTTTAACATTATATATAATGTCGCAAAAAACAAACAACCTGATCACTTGTGATCACTTGTCGTGTGCTTCAAAAAGGGGCCACTTTTTCCGGGGCCTGGATCTTTTCATTCTCTTCATTCCGATCCGATTCGACCGCGACCCGAATCGGACCCGAACCGGACCCGGTTGGGACGCCTAGAACGTAGGAGATCTGTGGCTCCACTGCAATGTTCAAAGCGCTCTGCACCTCGGTATGACGTCGCTAACGAAGGCGTCGCCGGGCGTCGCTTGCTCCGTTCGGTAGGTGCGTGCTACGTGTGGGAGCCGACGTGTGCACAAAGGCACACACGGTTTTGCTGAGTCGTGGGGTGGGGTGTAGCATTCGCATGCGGCGGTTGTTTGTGGCAAGAAACATGGCACAGTTACACAGTTCTGTGAGATCGATTGGGGAAGGGCAACCCTACCCTAGCTCCATTGGAGCCGCTGGGAACCGTTTCCACTCAACATTATTCATATGTTACAAAGTGTATATATGTTGAGTGTACATAGACTCTCTCCACAGCTCCTTTTGACTCGCGTCCATCATCTGAAAAACAAAAACGGTAGAATATAGGGTGGTGGCTGGTAAGTGAGCTGTGCGGCAAAATTGAATATACATTAATGATCATATTGTATAATATTCATTATTATTCTACAGTATGTATGTGCATGAACGATGCATGAATGTTAACATATATACCAATCGGTGGGATTCGGTGGGATTGTATGTTATCCTGATATCTCCAAGGTCCCACGCCACGTAGTTGCCATAGACATCCCGAAGAAGCTCCCCTCAAGATTTTCAGCTTGCTGTGGACAAGAGGACAGGCAAAAGGTACCAATATGTACCAATCAAACACAAATGGCAATCAAGAAAACGGTCAGCAGGTCAAACCCAAACAAACAACTCTCAAACATGATGATCTTGAATCTTGGTCTCCCCCCAACAATCAATCACCCAGCATCAAAAAAAGAGCAATTTTGCAGTGGAAGGCATGAGGCCAACGCAGTGAGCAGTGAGAGCGCAGTGCTAGCTGGAAGGCCAATCACTCTACCAAGGCAGTTGGGCCTTAACAAGGGTGGTGGGGCGGGGTTGAGCTTGCAGCAGCTTCCCAAAAGCAACCAGTTCAACCTTGAGCTGGGGCAAAACCTTACCGCAAACAGCTGCAAGACATGCTGTACCTGCAGATCAGACATGGGGGGGTGGCACATGCCCATTTCGGCTCAAAAAGCTTCCTTTTGCAGCACATCTCCGTTCCGAACAGTTCAGTCTTCCTGGGCTGGATCGCACGTGAAGAGCCCTTGAGCGCATGTGAGCCCCAGCACAGACGCGTGTGTTCACTGAAGACCCGCCAGAACCTTCTGGTGTACTATGGTCACTCTTGTTTGTTTCCTCTTTTCCCCGAAAGAACCTCTCACTCTGCACCCGTCCGTCATCCGGACCCCGTCCCTTCACCTCGTTTCACCTCCCGGAACCCGGACCCGGACCGGTCGGTGTGTCTCACCGCCCGTCGGCCTAGTCCCCTCGGATCGGCCAGCTCGGCAATCATGCGCGCCCGATCCTGCCCACCGAGGCGAGGCGGTGCCGCGGTTCGGCGGTTCCCGAGGTGAGGTCTGGGGTGTCGTTCCGCAGAAGGTCATGCAATGGGAATGGCATCCTTTTCTGTCCACCTCACCCTATTTGATTTAGATCACCATGTAGCAGGGATGAAGAGAAAGGGGGGAGCAGTGAAATTCCGATTGATTGTCAACGAAGCTACAAAGGACCTAGAACCTGATTAGCCAAAACATGATCTTTTCACATCAAAACAGAGGTCAAAAGGGTCAAACGGGTTCTAGGGATCTAGCTCTGTCTTCCACTGGTGCCTGTGCCAATCTCTTCGCCCCAAACAGGCCCGTCACAGTCACCGTTTCAAGCCGGCGTCGAACCGCGGAACCTCCGTCTCCAGAAAGCGGTGTGTACTCCTGAGACACGCCTGGCGTGATTCCTGGTATATGTTCCTTCTTCGAGTCGAACTGGGAGGTCTCCCTAATTGCTTACAAGTAGTGGAACCAGCAGAATCTGTTTCTGGGACCTGGAGAGCCTGGCCTTCGGGGCGACATCTCTGTCGACATGTCTGTCTCACCGTCCGTCCGACACGCGGGCGACGTCTGACACCGCCCACGACGTCTCCTCCCCACTAGAGAGCTGCAAGCAGCGTTCCACCACGTTGGAGCTGAACTTTTGCCGACTGAGCACCTCAGCAACGTCCGGACGCGGATCCGGCGGATCCGCGGCGCGCACGCGAAAACGCGGGCGATCCCTCCAACGGCGCCGTGTCACGGGGCCAAGAGAAGCGAAGGGAATAGATCAGAAGAAAAGGGGTGATGTTTGGATCTCTTTAGGTGTTCTTATGTCGCGTTTTTTTGGAGCCTGGTGTCATCCAAGAACACCTGGAAGATTTAGGTGGAGATAGTGGGAACTCTGATTTGCTTTGGAAGCTGGAAGATTTCCACCCCCAAACACAGAGTCTCACCACTCCCATTGTCGCATGAAAGAGCAGAATACAAATTTGGACAAAAGATTACAAAAGAAAGAACCAAACACCAAATTCATAGCACGGAACTTATTTATGATTGAACTGAAACCTTGAAATTCTTGAAAGGCTCGAATCAAATGAAATTTTAGACAAAGTCCTGCAGCCTGCAGGGTGGTTCACCGGTGCAACACCGTGGTCCATGCCAGGCGCCCGCACATGCAATCTTCCCATCATTGCATTGACAATCATGGTGGTGGCCTCGACTTGCGATCGAATCGCCCCGTCTCCAAACTCAATAATCCAAAGATGAAACATCAACCTATTTGATCAACATGCATGAACACCACTCAGAAAGGGTCAAAACCAGTCCCATGACCTGTGGTCACACGTAGAACAGGGGGGATCGCTGGAGTCTATCCAAGTCTTCTGTCAGTGTCACCGTCTGACCGGATGGTCCACGGAGAGAGCGCAGGTGTTTCCGAAGCGCTCGTGAGCTCGCCTGTGGCTCCTGAAGGCCTAAGACGTACTGGACCACGTAGTTCCCGAAGGGATCCTCCGGTGGAGAGACGGCGCCGGAGGGAGGGTGGATTCCCACCGTGCCCGGCGTGGAGGAGTGCGGGTGGATGGTGCTTTTGGGTCAATGCGATCATAAAAAATGGCTGAGAAAGCATGTCCCAAACACTCCATGCGAGTGGAATATGTTATCAGCATTAATCAGCACTATGGTAACCATGGTATACATTGAACCCTTTTCAATCAACCACCCCTGGCCCCATCGGTCAAGATGCCAGTCTCATTCCGCTTGTCTAAGTGAATGCTTAGCGTATCCAGTTCCAGGAGCCAAGTCTCTTATGAATGCTGCCAGCGGTACCAGTACTCAATTCACCAAAGGGCCAGCTCATGATAGCTGGTCTATTAGTCCATGGTGCCATAGTGATCCGCATATCAAAAGATATTCGTGTGTTCGCCAGAACGTAGGGTTAGCTTGGGTTGCTGCTTTCACTGGCTCAAGTGATTGCAGCCTAGGGACTGCTTTGAATAGGACAGGTGTCACAATGTTGGGTGGGCCATGGCTATCGGTGCTGGGCCTCTCATTGACCCTGGAGCTTGTTCAAGGCCCCCCGGCTGATTGGGTCTGGTGGTTTTCTTCCAACTCCTCGGATGAGGTGGAGGAGGTTTTCCCAGACGCGACCGTGGGCGAGACCGCCCCTCCCAGGATGGCCCCTGAGGAAGGTGAGCGTTCCGCTCCTCACGCGGGAGATGCGAACATTTTCGCTCATGTGTGGGGTCACTCAGTTTTCCATTTTGACATCAGGTCCTGGATGGGACCGGCATGGTTTAGCACCCCACAACAGAAGGGAAGTCTTAGCTCCTCCGGGGGCTGGGGACTTTACTTTCTTGATCGATTTGGACTCGCTACCTGCGGAGAATTTTGGCCATGGATTGCCTGGGGAACCCTACTAGCGCTGATTACAGTTTTGACCATTGGGGTAATCTATGCGTTGACTTGGGTCTTCCGGCCGATCCGGCTACTCTTTGATTGCTGCACCCGTCATACTCAAGCTGTTGCACGGGAGGTAAGTGATCTTCTGCCTGAGTTGCAGGCAACCCACACTTACGAATCCTTAGCCATCCGAGGCCCCGGCTCCAGGGAAAGTGTTGATAATGACTTCCTACAAAAAGGAGTCAAGGGTCGAGGGACTGAGAGAAAGCCCAACGATGTGGTGCTTCTGCTCAATGGTCAGGCAGCGAGGGTCAAACCCGATTGCGACCACTGGGCACGCGTTGATCGGAATGGGCTTTGGGTTCGGCTGAGAGAAGTTCGAGGTGTTTCCCATCGAAATCTGAGGCAGGTTTTGGAAGGAGAGAGTAAAGTCCACCTTTGCCGGGAAATGCAGTGTAGTCTTGAGAACCACCCTACACCGGGTATACACTGCAAAACCTACGCAGTGGTGGATGCCAACAGCGTGGTAGATTTGGGAGCGTACGCCGGGTGGTCCACCAGGCGACTGATGGTGCTCTTTACCAGATGTTTCAGAAGTGTCGGACGATCCGTCTGGAAGATGGTCGGGGTACTCTCTGGGTGGACGCTCCTTCCATATCTGATGGATACCCCTCAACCAACCCGTACCATCCAGGATCATGGAGGTCTCCGTACCCTTGACCCTGAGTCGGAATCTGAAGCTGAGGTCCTGGAAGATCCTTGCGAGGCCGTCCTAGTTGGATTGACCCATGGTGGCAAGCCGCGAGCCTTAGCCAATGAACCATGTCGGGATCAAGCGGCTGGGGAGTCGGTCCGACTCCTTGAATGTGACAAGGGTCTTTCCGATGTCAAGGGCAGGCAAGCGGTCCGCTTGTGTGATCACCATCGACAGTTGTATGTGGCAGCATGTTCCGGACGCAAGTGCAGTGTACTCTCATGTTATGAATCACACGATGGAGCCAAACAAGGGGTCCCCCTATGCAAGCATCACCTGATGGATGTTGGTAGCTCGGTGCGCAGCAAACGCAAGGTTACCTGGGAGAGCGACGGGAGCAATTCAGAAGCAGAAGAACCATCCTCAGGAGTTGAAGGTCACTTTGAGGATCAACGGGGGGTCTCTCCTCAAGCCCGCAGTAGCCGCCCCAAGCGTAGAGCTGCCACTAGCCACCCCAAGGCACGCGCTTCCTCAGCAGGGCCCCAATCTCAGTTCCAGCATCAAGCGGAAGGCAGGCTTCTTCAAGGCCCATGTATCTCACTAATCAGATTCAAGTCCCTCCAGAACGGGGAAAGTCTGCCAAGATGGGTCGCGTTTTTGGGGCGGGTTACTGGAGTCGCTACATCTAGCCGAGCTCAGGAGAAGGTTGAAATTGACATCCCTGCCCTCAAAGTTCAAGGGGTGGTCCACCTCTCGCAGTTGCGCCCCCCCCCAGGGATGATGGACACGGACGGATTTGTAGGGAATGGATTGATGACTTCCTTCAAGCCTCCCATGAAGAGTCCGTCGGGAAAGGGATTTCATTCCTGTGTAGTCAGGTCACTGAAGAGCAAGCTCTCTTGCTCCAAGCATGGGACGGCCAGGTGACTGATGGCGAGTCTCCCTCGTTCCAATCAGGCAAGACATGGATTTGCAGTCATCTTCAACAGGAGGTTCTCCCTCATGCTGAAGCTTATGTTGTCACACATCAACACAAGAAGAAGGAATTCATGACACCTCCGAGACCGACAGCTGTAGAAGATGGTACGGGAGAAGATTTACCTGACATCCCCCCTTTCCCAGTTGATGATGAAGTGGATACCGGAGCGCGTCTCAATGCAGCACGAGACACATTGTTAGCACACTCACCAGGAGATTTGAGCGCTGAAACAGTGCAAACGGTAGCCACTGCTTTCGAGGTCGATCCGACCACCCTCATGCAGCAGTTCGGGATCCCAAAGAAGCCACTAGAAAGTGCCATTCGACCTGCTGCTCCGGCCCCATCACGTACCCCACCAGGGTTGGAAGGGCCGTTCAAAGCGATGACCCCACAAATTCCTGCCCCTGCTCCAAGTGAACCCGCCTCGGGCCATGTCCTCGTTATCCCAGGATCCAAGAGAATCCCAAACCCCCTGCTGGGGGCTACCATGCCGGGGCAAGGAGGGGGAGGGATGTCCCTTTTTCCAAAGAGGTCAAGCGGCTCCAAAGGCTTGGCTTTTGGCGGTGGGAGGCCACCAGTTTGGGGAAGAAAGAGCAGGAGCTACCTTCGGGGAGAGTCTAGGAGAAGCCACCCAAGTTCAGAACGCTGATAGGATTATCCATGCCATTGATGGCTTGCGTAAAGCACAGGACGAAGAGAAGAACCTCACAAAAGGATCGCTGACTTCAGTTCGGGAAGCCGAAAAGATTGATGTTTTCCTCGCCAGAGGATGCGGGACCCTGACGGTGGAGATAGCCCCCGGGGTCTATGGCAAGGAACTTTACCATGCCTGCAAACGCATCGCTATGCATTCCCGTCACATGTTGCATCTCATCAAATGGCCAGTCCTTATGACAAATCGTCTCATGCTGGGCATTGCAGGTTTCTGGTGGGGAGGAGTGGAGCCATACACGGTACACGCTAGTGATTGCGTTACAGCTCGCTCCGAGCAGCTGGACAACTGGCACCCCCCCAGCGGCAACAAAATTGAGGGTCGAGTGAAACCACCTGGGGTTTTCAACACCTGGCTCCGGTATGCCGAAAATTCCGTCAGGGTCTTCGGATCATGTTACGGAACTGAGCATGTCGCAGAAAGGATGGAATGCCTTACCGCCCTCAAAGAAGCCCATGAAGAAGATGAACATGCCTTCCCAGCCGCTTACTGCATCGAACTCTACGAGGAATTGGTGGCGGCCTGGGGGGAGGACTTGCGAGAAAGTCGTAGGAAGCTGTGCTCAATTTGCGGAACGGAGAATCCCAGGCTGGAAGACCTCAAATTGCTTGCCCTTGCCCCAGGAGCGGACGGTCAAGCCAACTTTCAATTCCCCAGGATTTGGGATTTGGCCGACCCAGCCGGGTACTACCAGACAGTGGTCATTCCTAGGCAACAGAGGCAGATGTCAAGACTCCTCCATAAGCAGCTTCATGATCAGAACCTGAAGAACACCCGCAAAATTGCCGGAGGTGCAGAGTCAGTCGAAGGGGGAGATGATGATAAACCCGGGAAGGCACCAAAGCTCGTCCTCAAAGATGTTCCGCCCACTTCGGGGGGAGCCCTCCCTTCTGGAAACAAGTCCGCTTATCCGGCGGGGAAGAGACTGCTCCAGTCTGAGGCATCCCGGTCAGTTGAACATGCACCCAAGGACTCAAAGTCGGGAAAACCAATCTGCTGGGATGCAGCGACCCACATGGGGTGTAGCCGAGGCTCCAAGTGTCAGCACGCCCATGAGCCGTTGCCGGGACTTGGAAAGCTAGACTATACAGTTGCCATGCAAGTCATTAGGAGAGGCGGCTTGAAAGGGGGACCCAAAATCGATCCCAAGGAAGTCGATGGGAGGGTCGCACAACTGAGAGCACAGGCAGCGGCTGAGAAAGCCGAGAAAATGCAGCCAACCCCAAAAGCCAAAGGAAAGGGTAAACCAAAATCCAAAGCTAAGGCTGGCCATGAACCGGAAGGAGGCAGCGATGATGAAGACAAGGCGGGTCAGCCCGATTGGGAGGTCCCAGAGGATTACCGAGTCCCGCTGACCCAACTTGAGGCGGATCTTGAAGAAGCTGTGAAAGGGCCCGATCCGGGCTGGCTGGAAGTCCCTAGAAGGGAACCCCTCTGCTCCGATCCCAGGGATGAGGAAGCGCTCTCTGATGAAGAGAGATCACGAATCCAAAGATGGAAAACCCTGGAAGCCAGTGGCGTACTGCAGGCTCTCAAGGACCCCTCAGATTATCTACGATCCCATGTCATCGCTAGGCTCATGGCAGCAGAGGATGCACAGCAGGACGTCGACTTGCCGACCATTCTTGAGGAGGCCGCCGAACAAGGTCATCCGACCCTCGCCGAGGAGGCGTGTCGCCAGCTCGAAGGGTTGAAACACACACCAAAGGCTGGGCATAAAGCTG